ATAAGCCTTCTGCGGTTATCGCTACAACGGAACTAACACCGCGGAAAACTGAAACAACGATAACAGTGACACAGGAAACAAACATCCCTGAACCGTCCAACAATGTGACAGTAGTACCCTTAAGAAAGTCACCGAAGCAAGTTGCCTTCGCATTAGATATTGATGAAAGAGAACCACTTGTTGAGTTCGCTGCGCCAACTCCCACTGAGCGCATAGACGATGTAAAAACATTGACAAATGACTTCTTAAGCGGCGAGAAGCAAACGCAACTGTCACCGAGACTACCGCAAGTAACCGACTTAGACGCCGATGCTAAATCGATTAGCGCCATTGTGCAGAAAGTCGCCGAAATAACAATTACAGAGCCACAGCCTGTATTAGAAACCACAGAGCCCCTGAATGAAATAAGTGCAATACCAAATAGAACAGAACAACAACCGACAGAGGACGCAAGCGGCGTGGTGAAAACCACCACTGTACGCAAGACGAAATTCATCAAGAAGATAATGCAGAAGAAACCAGAGTCACCAGAGACACCGGAGCCACCGGAGTCAATAGCGTCAGCTATAGCAGAAGACATTGACGTGGCAGAGGAAGCGAAGGAAGAACCGAAAATTGAGAAATCAGAATCAGTTGTGCGCGAAGTTGATGACAGTGGTGTGGTAAAAACCACCACCGTACGTACAATGAGCATCAAGTCACAGAATGTTAACGAAGCTACCGAAATCGGTGAAGCTACGCAAGTAGTGGAAGAAAAAGAGTATCCACCAGCACGCGTGGAGGAGGAGCAGAGCGCCATTGTAGATACACCTGATGCATACGAAATAAGAAATGTATTGCCCACAACTGAAACATACGCCACAGATCAAACAATTGCCGGCGAGGTGGTCAAAACCATACGCGTACGCAAGACAAAAACAGTTAAAAGAATAACACAAAATGTTGAAGAAAGCAGCAGCGAAAAGAGCACGACGATAGCGAGCGAGAATACTGCAAACGAGACAGCTACCGTTGAGCCCACCGACGAGCATGAAAAAGAGAACGGTGGTGTAGTAAAAACTGTGACTGTGCGTACGACAAGCTTTGTTAGACGCATACCATACGATTCTGTTTCCGCCAACGTCTGCGACGAAACAGCGCATACGAAAACGAGCGAGTCGCCAAGCGACGAACAGCTGCGAAACTCGCCAATTGTTATTGAAGAGCCTAGCGAAAGCTCAACCACTACAACGCAAACTGATGGCGCTATTATAAAAACCACAACCATACGTACAATGCGATTGAATAAGACAATTGCTTCAGATGGTCGTATACTTTTGAAAGAGGTAGATAATCCAGATGACGTCATAGTAACATCCTCAATTGAAATGCCCGAACAGGCTACAATGCCGGGTGTGAAAACCATTGACGTCAGCTCATTGTCTGAACCTTTGCCAACAGCATATGCACCAACTGAAAGCAGTGACAATATTTATGATGTACCAAGTGGTATTGATGAGGTTCAAATTATTGATTCGGCCAATAGCGAGCAAGTAGAATCAAAGAAGAGTACTGGCATTGAAGTTGTTGATATTGACACTAAAGTGTTGCCAAATGTTGAGGAACAGCAAGCGCACCAAACACAACAGACTAGTAGTACGGAGACGACAAGAACCACCTCAGATCTTACAATTACCAATAAGACGCTAACCACACAATCTAACGAACAAACAACAAAATCTACCACTACCGTTACCAAACGTACTCGACTAACCACACTACAAAGAGCTAGTGTTGAAACACAAGACGGTGAAACGCTAACGCTGGTTGACGAAAGTTACAACGGTCTTCCCAAATCGGGTGAAGTGCGAAAGATTGCACTCATAACGCACGAGGAGACATACAAAACACCTAAAATGAAAATGCATTTCGATTTTCCACCAGTTACCCTTCAAGTTACCGAAACATTGACAACACAGTTGGAGAATACAGCTGAGTCAAGCGAGGGCACAAAGGTTGTAGAGGAAGAGGTTAAGCTTGAGACAGGTACAGAATCAATTATACACAAGATAATAGAAGAGCGGGTGACAGCGGATGAGGTATTAGACGAGTGCAGTAACGTGAAAGTAGAGGAAGGCGAACAGGTTTCCAGTGTGACGGTTAGTAGTGAAACTCCGCTAACGGAGGGTTTGCTCCCTAACACAGAAGCGGTGACTAGGTTAGCAGAGCCAATTGTAATAGAAAAAGTAGTAGAAAAGAAAGATGAAATTATAGATCAGTTAACAACAGAGACTGTGGTAGAGAAACGCTTTACAGAAAGCAGCGAGTACAACGAGAACACTTCATTAGATACTATTGTAGAAGGTGTTTCCTCAATTACAGTGAATAATATTGCCATACCCGACAGACCGCCCACAGCAAGCGATACGCAAAAGTTAGCAGAGCCCACTGTACAACAAACACAGGCTGCGGACACACCAGACTTTGTAGCAGAAATGACAGCTGAAGAGCAAGAATTATTTGAGGACATTAAGAAGAAACTCGCTAAGAAAGATAAGAAAAAACGACCAGCGCTACCAGAAGACTTTTTCAAACAGCAACAGTTAGATAGAACGGTAGAACTGCTAGCTGAGGAACGTTTAGCTAGCGAAACTAGTGAAGTAGGCGGGCAACCGGAGGCACCAAAAGTAGATAGGACTGCCGTTGAAGAAGCACGTGTAGAACGTAGTGAAACTGAGTTTAAACAAAATATTTTCCTGGACTTGGTTGAGGATAAATCGCTTAAGCTTAGGGAAGTTAGAAAGAGTGAGGAAACGTATCACGAGCTAGTTGAGCGTGAGGTACCCGCACACGACGACACACCACTCGAGCCTAAGGCAGAAACTAAGGTTGAAGAAGAAGAAGTGCAAGTAGTACACACCAAATTACCTGCAAATGCAGAACCCACTAACAATGCTATTGCTAATGAAATACCTGCTGCAAAACCTAGCGCAAGCGTGCTAATCGAAGAAACTAGCGCCCATACTTCTGCACTAATTTGCTTTGAGGTACCTAAATATAATCTAAATGAGTTGCAATTGGCCGAAAAGAGCTACATTGAAGTGAGTAGCAAACCTAGTGAACCCCAAATAGTAGAATTATCACAGAAAGACGAAGCTAAGCCAGTTGTCGACGCATCTACTAAGGTCATTAGTGTAGTTTCGAGTGATATTCCTTTGTATTACGATGTACCAAAATATGATGTTTCTACGCTGGCGCAAGCTGAGGTGAGATACCAAACCCTGCAAGAAAAGGTGAAATCACCGGAAGTTGAGGAGCCCGCTGTAAGTCAGGTAAGTGATATAGACGAAGCAAATTTAATTGAAAAGGTTGCAAAGATTCAGTTAGGGGTTAAAGAAGATCAGTTAGTTTCGAAAACCACCACCACCACCACCACCACCACCGTGACTACTAAGGTCACAACCACGTCAACAAGTGAAGAAATCGCAGACACACAAGCTTCGCAAGTCAAGCACGTTGAGCCGAAACTCGAATTGGCTACCGCAGTTGCGGAAGTCAAGCCAGGTGAAATAAGTGAATCTTTCACACCAGCTGAAAGCAAGGAAGAGCCGAACACAGATGAAACTACGAAATCAATTACCTCGACCACAATTCTAACGACTGCAGTTGCTGCAACGGCAAGTGTACTAGAAACCGTTAGCAATTACTTCAACTACGAAATTCCGAAGTACAATGTTGAGGCGATTAAGCAGGCAGAGAAACACTTTGTGGATACTGTTGTGCAACAAAGTATTGATGAACAAGAGATCGTTGAAGAGAAACCGAAAGAAAAGCTTGAAGAAGTCAAAGCAGTTGACAAACCACTTGAAAAACCAACGAAAGAGGTTGCTGAAGCAGAGAAAATAGAAGAAAAACCAATCGAGACATTGAAAGAAGAAGAAAAATCTGAAGAAACAGTATCACAGGGAAGCTCCACCACTATTACTACAATCTCTACTGTTACAGAAACAGTGGAAGCAAAGGCTTCTTCTGAAACCGAACCTGTTGAAGAAGTTCCGCTAGTGGTCGAAGAAGAATCCACTGTTAAGATTGAGCAAGTAAAACCAGCATATACTCCAGTTGAGATTCCGGCGGAAGAAGTTGTTGAAGTGAAGACTATTCAAGAGAAACCCTTCGAATCAGTTAACGAAGAGCCCAAAAAGCCTGCTTATGCTGGCCTACCAATTGATGAGTCTTCCAGCATCTGGATGGATGTTCTGGACGAACCCATGGTGCTGTCAGACGAAGATGAGAAATCTGAGGAAACGGTAACCCAGACCACCACTACAACAACTACCAAGACCACTGTTGTCACTGAAGTAGAGAAAACCAAAACTCTTGAAAACAAAACCGTGGAAGAAATTTCTCAAACAGTCGAAGACAAACCGTTGGAGCAGGTTGGGGAAGTGAAACCGGTTGAGATCTCAGTAGAACCTATAGCCGAAGTTACAAATGTGGTCGAAGAGAAACCAGTCGTAAAGGCTGAGGAAGTGCAATCAGTTGTGGCTCCAGTTGAAGAAATTATCGAAGTGAAAACTATTGAAGAGAAACCCGTGGAACCAGTCAAAGAAGAACCCAAGAAGCCAGTTTATGCCGGTCTTCCAATCGACGAATCTTCCACAACCTGGATGGACGTTCTGGATGAGCCTATGGTCTTCTCTGACGAAGAAGAGAAACCTGAAGAAACTGTGTCTGAGACCACCACAACAACTGTTACCGAAACCACAGCTGTAACCGAAGTAGAAGAACCCAAGCCTGTACAAGATGCTCCTCAAGCGGTGAAAGAGAAACTGCCCGAAAAGGTTGAGGAAGTGAAATCTGTTGAAACTCCAGTGGAAGAAATTATCGCAGTGAAGATTGTGGAAGAGACACCCATCGAACCAGTGAAGGACGAACCAAAGAAACCAGCTTATGCTGGTCTTCCAATTGACGAATCTTCCACAACTTGGATGGACGTTTTGGATGAGCCTATGGTCTTCTCTGATGAAGAAGAAAACTCTGAAGAAACTGTAACTCAGACTACCACAATAGCTGTCACCAAAACCACTATTGTAACCGAAGTAGAGGAAGTTAAGTCTTCTGAAACCAGTTCTGTAAAAGATATTCCTCAAGCGGTCGAAGATAAATCGATCGAAAAGGTTGTGGAAGTTAAACCAGTTCAGATTTCCGCGGAACCTGTACAAGAAGTTCCAAAATTGGTTGAAGAGAAACCGTTTGAAAAGCTTGAGGTAGTAAAATCTGTTGAGATTCCACTGGAAGAAGTTATTGAAGTGAAGACTGTTGAAGAGAAACCCGTCGAACCTATAAAGGAAGAACCCAGGAAACCAGCTTATGCCGGTCTTCCAATCGACGAATCTTCCACAACCTGGATGGACGTTTTGGATGAGCCTATGGTGTTCTCTGATGAAGAAGACAACTCTGAAGAAACCGTAACGCAGACTACCACAACAACAGTCACCAAAACCACTGTTGTAACTGAAGTAAAGGAAGTTGAAGCTTCTGAAATCAATACTGTAAAAGATATTCCTCAAGCGGTCGAAGACAAATCGATCGAAAAGGCTGTGGAAGTTAAGCCAGTTCAGATTTCCGCGGAACCTGTAGAAGAAGTTCCCAAATTGGTTGAAGAGAAACCGTTTGAAAAGGTTGAGGAAGTAAAATCTGTTGAGATTCCATTGGAAGAAGTTATTGAAGTGAAGACTGTTGAAGAGAAACCCGTCGAACCTATAAAGGAAGAACCCAGGAAACCAGCTTATGCCGGTCTTCCAATCGACGAATCTTCCACAACCTGGATGGACGTTCTGGATGAGCCTATGGTCTTCTCTGACGAAGAAGAGAAACCTGAAGAAACTGTGTCTGAGACCACCACAACTACTGTTACCGAAACCACTGCTGTAATCGAAGTAGAGGAAGTAGAAGCTTCTGAACCCAAGCCTGTACAAGATGCTCCTCAAGCGGTGGAAGAGAAACTGTTCGAAAAAGTTGTGGAAGAGAAATCTGTTGAAACTCCAGTGGAAGAAATTATCGCAGTGAAGACTGTGGAAGAGACACCCATCGAACCAGTGAAGGACGAACCAAAGAAACCAGCTTATGCTGGTCTTCCAATCGACGAATCTTCCACAACTTGGATGGACGTTTTAGATGAGCCTATGGTCTTCTCTGATGAAGAAAAAAGCTCTGAAGAAACTGTAACTCAGACTACCACAACAACTGTCACCAAAACCACTGTTGTAACCGAAGTAGAGGAAGTTAAGTCTTCTGAATCCAGCTCTGTAAAAGACATTCCTCAAGCGGTCGAAGAGGAACCATTAGAAAAGATTGAGGAAGTGAAGCCAGTTGAGAGTTCAGGGGATGAAGTTATTGAAGTGAAGCCTCTTGAAGAAAAACCCGTCGATCCTATAAAGGAAGAACCCAAGAAACCAGCTTATGCCGGTCTTCCAATCGACGAATCTTCCACAACCTGGATGGACGTTCTGGATGAACCAATGGTTTTATCTGACGAAGAAGAAACATCTCAAGAAACAGTGTCTCACACTACCACAAAAACCACCGTTGTTAGTGAAGTAGTAGAAGTAAAGCCTGCAGAACCAAAACTTGTAGAAACAGTTTCAGTAGTGACCGACGACAAACCGATCGAGCAGATCGAAGATGTGAAGCCAGTTAAAGAAACGCCCATTAAGCCTGCTGTGGTGTCTGAGAGTGTTAAAGATACCGAAACTATTGGTATCGATGAAATCCAGCATGCTCTATCTCAGATTACCACCATAACCAGTTCCATGTTTGAAGCTATAGAGCAAAGTACTGCAGGTATGTTAGCGGTAGATGAGCAAACTAAACTGCCTACTGGAACGAACGAAGAAAACATAGTTCAACCAGTTGATGAGAAAACCAAGAAGGAGAAAGTTGTATCTTTTATGGATGAGGTTAAATCTGAAAGTCCTGTGAAGTCGGAAAATGAAAACATTCTTGAACATTTAGAAATAAAAACTACAGATGAATTTGCACCATACGAAAATGTATCACTAGCGCCTGAGATAACACCACCTCCAGTAGATGGTTATGCTAAAGAGAGAAGCATCAGCGAAAGCGACCTGTTGATTGTGTCGAAATGGTCTGATAGCAAGCCATTACCAGAAGAGAAGACTGTCATTGATACTTGGTCAAGTGTGTTAGAAGATACAACACCTGTTCAACCTAATATTGCATTTACGTCCAAATTGTCACCTAATGCACCCGAATTTACGCCATCCTACCTGCGCCAAACGGATGCTGATGAAAATGTGGTTTTCTTAGAAAATGAAAGAAGTGTTCATACCGAGAGAGTGCAGAAAAAATCCAAACAACAAAAGAGAGAAGAGAAATCGCATAAAGAACAGCCAGAAGAGAAAATTAGTGAGAGGCCTTCTCAACTCAATGCCGATGCTCCGGTATTTAAACTTCCTGAGGATACCAGAGACTCAAAGGCGCCGAAGGGTAAATCCTATGCTGATATCGTGTTTGGTGAGCATTCGCATGTAGCGGAAACGAGCACAATTCAAGCTGTGATTGAAGACAAGAAAATGCCTTCCGAAAAACCAGCTGAACCTGAGGTTACACCAGTTGAGCAAGTCAAACGAAAGGATGAACCGCAAAAGAAAACAAAGAAAGAAAAACGTAAGGCTGAGAAGGTAGAAAAAGTCATACAAATTATAGACACTGTGGAGAAAGAGGTGTCAGAAGAGGTTACTGCTGAACCTGAGGACGAGAAGCCAGAGCCTGCAGTCTTGGATGAACCACAGAAAGAACCTCAGAAAGAACCCGAAACTACTCGTGCACCCTTAATGTCATGGTCATCTATTGTAAAGAAACCTGGTGAATGGGTGGACGACATCGTTAGTAAAACAAAGAAGGTGTTTACCGAGAGCGAGAAAAATGCGGCTGTCGCTGACAAGAAACCAGCAACCAAGAAAGAGGTTTCAAAAGAAAAACCAGCAGCGCCAGAAAAGGAGCGTAAGCCTAAAAAATCCAAGAAAAATAAAAACAGAGATGTTTCCGTTGAACCAGCCAAGCCAGAAGAAGAAGAAGAGTCCGTGCATAAGCCGACTAAGACAGAAGAAGTAAAATCGCCCGAAAGTGATGAATCCGATGAGCTCAAAGAAAATAGTCAGAGTCCAATTACATCAGAAGAAGAGACCCAGGTCGCAGTTGAAGCGCCAGCTGTGTCTGAAAACATCGCTCCAAAACAATCGCAGCCAGGCATCGTATCTTGGGCGTCACTAGTAAGCAGGCCAGGCGAGTGGATTGATGAAACCATTACGAAACATAAAGCACCATCAGAACCATTGCCTAAGGTCGAAAAACCGAAGACTCTAAAGACAAAGGAAAAGGAAAATAAAGATAAGAAACCAAAATCAAAGCCTGAACGTATTTCCAAAAAGACTGACACTCATATCGAAGAACAAACTGAGTGGACTGAGGTAGTTGCTACTACCGACGCTGTTGCGGAAATTGAAGCAGCAGTGCCAAAGGTTGTCGAGAAGCCAGAACCACAAATTGAAACAAAAGAAGCCGTAGCGCCTGCAAACCCACAATTCTCTTGGGCAGCTTTAGTAAAACGACCAGGCGAATGGGTTGATGATATAAAAGAACGGAAGAAGGCAGAGAAAGTAGCTGAGCCTGAGCAAATTGTCGTTGAAGCACCAAAGAAATCTGAAAAGTTTAAGAAACCCAAGCCTGTCAGCAAGAAACCAAAGGAGCGCACCGAAACGCCTAAAGAAAGTACTCAAAAGGATGTATCACTGCCGACAACATCTGACAGTGACTCTGAAAGATATGAGAAATTGCCTGCAACAGACTCCAATACCTTAACTTGGGCTAGGATAGCAAGCCAAAAAGAGGTTGAGCTTAAAGACACCGCACAACCAAAAGAAATTGTAAAACAACGAAAAGAAGTTCCACAGCCGCAAGAAAAGCCGCGAGAAACTTTGAGTACTAAACAAGCAAAACAAACAAAAGAAATGGCGCAGCCAAAAGAAAAGCCAGCTTCGAAACCTACGGCAGTCAAAGAGGTTGAAATATACTCCGATATCCCCGCTGTTCCTACTAAGATGTCCTGGGCTACAATAGTTAGTCAATCTACTACAGATTTCATTAGTAATGAACGCAGTCGACCAACATCCAAAGCGGAGAAGGTAAAAGCTATACCACAAAAGAAACAGCCAATTGAAAGAATTGAGCCAGCTGTCGTTGAGAGGCCGGCAGTTGAAGCTTCGGCGCAAAAAGAGACTTTAGATGATTTTGAATGGAACAATTTCTCTGAGAGAGTTACTTCGACTTACGACCACCCCGAAGATAATGATGATTTTGCCGGGCAGAATGAACCCAAATCGTGGAAGGATATGATTGATGAAGACGATGACCTATTTTCGTATGATGTTCCCGCTGAGGTGCAAAAGCCTGCTGAAGAAGTCTTTGAAAAGACCGACGAAAATGTGTCCAATGTCACCTCGACTATTACCACTACAACAACGGTCGTTAGGGAAACAAAAACTGTGGAGGACGTTCCGGCTGACGACGTAAAACCAGCTGAGACGATAGTAGAAGAAGTAGTTGAAGTTAAGATTCCTGATATCAAACCTGTGGTGGAAATGCCGGAAGTAGTTGAAGAGAAACCGTTAGAAAAGGTTGAGGTAGTAAAACCGATTGAGACTTCAGTGGAAGAAGTTGTTGAAAGGAAGCCTGTTGAAGAGAAACCCGTTGAACCACTAAAGGAAGAACCCAATAAACCTGCATATGCTGGTCTTCCAATCGACGGATCTACAACCACCTGGATAGATGTTCTGGATGAGCCTATGTCCTTGTCTGATGAAGCGGAAAACTCTGCAGAAACAGTGACTTCGACCACCACAACAACTATTATTACAACCACTGTTGTAAGTGAAACAGAGAAAGATAAAGCATCCAAAGCCAAATCCTTCGAAGAAGTTCCCCAAGTGGTCGATAAGAAATCAATCGAGAAGTTT